CTCCGTGGAGCTCCTCATTCCGATACCAGACCTATTAGCTCTTAGTACCACTCGAGGGCAGACGACCAATTTGCTCCTGTGCTCCCGCATGGGGGTCTGGTTGTTGCTCACGTTGTCTAGGGGGGATAGACTCCAAAACAATCTCTCTTTCATGGTGACCACAGCCACATATTTGGTGGCTGGCATGTGATATTCGTAAGTGGCAGGGTTGTGGGTGGGGGGCAGCAGAGTGAGTGATGAGTCCCACAAACGGCAAGCGGTGATGCCAACAAAGCTAGTCTAGTATCATACTCTCTAGCATTATTTAGCTGACATTCTGCCAGACCCGGCAAACCGCCATACCCGACGTTATGCTATCAACACACGGGCGTTTGTAGCGGATCGCTACTTTGGTATGTCGCAGCAGCGACCTAATGATCCCCTTTGTCCAATCAGCCTTGACAGGCATGGGTGGCAGAGGCATAAGGGACGGGAGTTGTGGCTGTGAACAATATGTAGAGCATTACTAAATAGAAAGATCCTGAGGGATTCATTGCCCGAATTCCGCATTCCAATAGATGCACCTGATACCGGTCTATCATTCCTAGATCCTACTATTTCAAATAGTGCAACAAGTGCCGGAACAGATCCGACATCCACCGGTCTCCGAGTGGTTGGCCATGATCGCTCAAGATAGTAGTCACATGAGGTATGTACTATCACAAGTACGGTTTGTGTACTAGACATATTGTTACCGTCAGTCCTCTGCGTAGAGCACGCCAGGGCCACCGGAACATGGTGGTTGGCATGAGTGGGGAAGCTGGAGAGGAATCCGCGATCATGGGCGATTGGGAATTGGGAGTTTCCGGAGTTGTGGCAGTTTGGATATCCGAGCGTCTTGATAATGATGGTGATGATTGCCTTCGTAACCCTCCTACCGTCGCCGCCGCTAGTGGTATAACCGGTGCGGTAGGTGCTTTGGAGGGGGAGATTATCCTCCAATTAAGCTCACATGATAATCTACTGCTTGGCACACCTGGTGTCTCCCGCCCCACCGATGCTAGTCGTGAGACCACCTTCACCGTCTTCCGAGCGCTGCTTGCCAAATCTGAAGTTGTGGATTTCGGTGATGTCTTTGCTGACTTTTCGACATCTAGTAGAGCTGCCGGTCGGTGGTCGAAATCCCGTTTGATGAGTTGCAGGCCACCGAGATTGAATCTGGGAAAACCCATCCCCCCAGGCGACGTCATCAGCCCTCAGCCCTCTTCCATTCCAGGATTCCCTAACTAGTGAAGGGGGAGGGAGGCTAGGAGATGCTCGATAGGCGGAGAGTGGGGAGGGAAAAAGATAAAGTAAGAAAGAAAAGTGTGGATGGACGAGAGGTATGGGAACCCCTACATTGCTATCAACTGAACGACCAAGAATATGGATGCATAAGCAATCCCTTTCTCGACCTAAGGAATCATTACCAAAGGTGACCTCCTTTGTTGATCCCAAGGGAGTCCCTAGGAGCAGGAAGGGGGGTAAATTACATCTCTATCAGGATCGAGAGGTGCTGATTTCGCTAGTGTAGAAACATACGATATAACCTAATTGAATATTTAAGACGAAGAAAAAATCAATAAGCCGTAAATTGCTAGTTCCATTTATTTATTGAGGGGGGGGAGGGGGGGGCTCTCCAGAATAACAACGGCATGTACTGGTATGAATATGATTCACATCTTATCACTCACCAGATCACCTAGGTTACTGAACGTCCCTACTTCCCCCCTCGCGCACACATCGTCATGAGCAAAGGCCAGCTATACCACAAAATAAAGTAGAGCAAAATAGAAGCATGCATTGTTCGCATTCGCGGGGTGAAGATAAAAAATAAAAAAAGGTCCCACCAGCAGCTAAAACTCCCCCTTTCCAAGACCTAGGAGTAGGTGTGAACCAGCGAACGATCAACCCAAAGGACAATCCCAAGGCTATAACAGTAGTATCATATATCCATCCATCAACCATATCGTATAGCAACCTACGCAGAACGGGAAGGAGGAGGATGGGAAGAGAGAAACATACCTTGGTAAAAACTCCGGGTGATGACCACTGCGAGGACGGAGTCCATGTTGCTAGGGTCGAATGCCGGGAGCACGGTCGAGAATATAAGTAGCGGTAGCAGGAGGTTCAATAATAGTGAAGCGTTGGCTTTGCAGACTTCTGGGGTCAGGTAGCCTGCACGACCTCGTGGAAATCATTACTATTATCGAGTATCGTATAGGAACGAGTTATCACTCGTGAATGTAAGATGGTAATAGGCCTCTAAGACGAACGAACAAAAATGGGTTTCCCCGTTCCTTCCTTTACGAATGTAACTGAATTTTTTTTCTCCCTCATACTTTTTCTAGCGAAAACCGCACCCCCGCCACCCACAGGGGCAATCTTGATTATTGGTTTGAGCGAAGTGAAGACTACCGGTCGGTTCCCAAGCAAAAGTAGTGATTTGTTAAGCCAAGTTAGTCAGATGGTAAGTTAACGACGACGTCAATAACAATCAATTGGTTGATCAGGGAACGGCTGCGAGCTCACCTTCGCCAATTCCAACCTTTTCGTTCAACATTTTTTTCCCCTTCTTTTCCCCTTTCCTGTTATTCGGAATGGGGGAATGCTCCTGGGAGGGAGGAACTGGACCGAAGGGGCGCTATCGTTAACGAATCCGACGGGGAGGGGGGAGGAGCGGGGGGAGGGGGTGGAGAGATTTCTCTTCTGTTCTGTATCTAGTTTAAGATCCGAAGTGAACACGATCTCAAGTTTCTTCTGAATGAAGACCTTTCCTGATCCCTTCTTCGCTATGACCTTCCTGCCGTTCGCTCAGAGTCGATGCGAATTGGGTAGGGGAATGGAGGGAAAAACGGTGCTGTCCGTTCAGTCTAGCTCACGACTGGTATGGTAGGTTTTTTTTTCCTCCACCGATTACGGCACTAAGGGGAGATTTCGTTTTTCTTTTTTTCTTTTTGGCTTTCCCGCTTGCTTGATTTTACTGTGGTAGTTGGCTCCGGCTGGGCTGCATTGGTCCCGTGGATGGGCTCTATTTCTTTTCTTTTTTCTCCTTATGTATCTCGCCCGTTGCGGGGAAGAGACCTTGGCTTCTGCGATACAATAAGTTAACACGGGAGGAAGCTGGGCTGGTGATTGCGCTAGCGTGGTTGTGGTTGTGGTTTGAGGTACGGTACTGGGTACTGGAACAAGTACTTGTATCCTGTACTTGTATCCTGTACTCGAGTACTGTACTGTATGTGGGTTAGGTCGGATATTTTGTTAAATTGACGTATTCCAGGGGATTCTCGGTTTATTGCTTCTTTTTTGCCTTTTGGCTTGCGTGGTTTGTGATCGTGGGTGTTTAATCTAGAGCAAGGTTCCATCAGTGTCTAAGGGCTCAAGGGTTTGGATAGTATCATAGCTTCGGAGGTGGTTGGGAGAGGGGGCGCTCTCCTCCCTCTCCATCGTGTTTAACTGAATTTACCATTGCGATAACGCAGCGCCGTTTTGGCCACATGAGATGAGGAGCACACGTGCGGTAAAGTACAATGCTCCGACCATCAAACGTGCGCCCACCTACCCGTGCAGAGTGTAGACTGTACAAGAACTGTACATGTGAAAGAAAGGGGAGATGTCTACTCCACATATACCTCTATTCTAGACAACAGCAGTGGTCGTTCATGCCTAATTTTGTTTCTTGCCTCCCTTTCCGCGAGGTTGATACGTACGCTCGTGCGGAATGATATCAGTGGAACCATTTCGGGTTATTCCTCAGCGCCCCTCACTGTGGCCGTCCCTCGCCGTTTCCAGATGAACCTAAATACTTTGGGAATAATCGGGCATTCTTTCGCGTCCTCTTTTGTACTGAAAAGTCACGTAGCGCGTTCTTCGAAAGGATCTCTTGCATCCATTTCTGCTGATAGAACCCCTTACGTCAATTGTCTTCCCCTCTAACCGCTAATTACCCTACCAACCACCTATCCATTTTCAGCCAACGTGATAAGCTCTACTACACCATTCTACGTGCTTGATGAGGTAGACTTCACCAATATTCACCAGTTTCTTGACCAAATGAGGGCCAAAATATATTGGACCGGAAACCCTCGTTGGAGAAAGGAGGGAGAGGGACAAAAAAGATCCTGAAGGAAAAGTCCCCCTTCATTCCACCTTTATCATAGAGGACTCTTCTTCAGAAACAGGGGAAAGATGGATTCCCTCAAAGAAAGAGAGACCTTCTTACATCAAGAGTACCTTTTTTCCTATCTTGGCTCTCTCTAGCTTACCTTTTTGCATTTCTCGGATAGTAGGACGTGCCCCCCCCCCTCCGTTCTTCAAGATATTCTGTTCCTGCACGATCTCCTTTGGAATTTTGAAGGGAAAGTCTGGAGGAGCAATAGTGCTCTCTCCTGCGATTCTGTTTCTCCTTATATCACTAGAGGTATATCACTAGAGGGGCTTAATCACTTGCCCACTTTTTTTCCTTCCCTTTTCTTTTCTTACCTTCCATTGGTTCCAATCGTTCCCTTCTCTCTTGAACTTGCCTTTCGTTTGAACAGCCCGTGGCCGGCTTTGCTCCAGTTTCTTTTCTTGTCTACCTCCGCAGTTCTCTCGGTGTCACTCTTTTCACCGCCACTGCCAACGCTCCTTTTAGCTGTGTCCCTTCTATACCGTGCGCCGCTTTCTAATATTTTTTCCTTAATCCTTTTTATTTATTTTACAGCCTTCTAAGGTGCCTACCGTACCCCCCTACACTCCCCTCCCTGGTCTTGCCGGGGTCCTGTTCCGCAGCGACAACCGGCTTCCCATTCGACTTATTTCGCATTTTTTGTTCCCCACTTCGAACGAGACACCCTCATTGGCCCTTCTCTCCGCAGCTGCGGCACACAGAATTCCACTCTCACATCCTGGTCGGTATTCTTATGGAGGACTAGGGTCCGGACTAAATCCGAAAGAATTGCTATAGAACAATTGACATATATAAGCACTTTTGTATTCCCACAATGGAACCGCATTACTCGAACACTCCCGCTAAAACAATCACCGCTATCACCACCACTCCCGATACCACCACCACCACCACTGCTAACACTAAATTTCGCAACCCCCAGGAACAGCAACAACCCCAGCAAAAGGAAGAAGATTACCTTCTTACACCAGGGCTCACTTCGTCAAGATCATCACTAAGCTCGACCACATCTTCTCATAGCTACAAAAGCAACGTACGAAGAGCACTTGAAGAAACCTCTCTAAATTCGCATCGCTCTAGTCTCAACAGTCTTAGCAAGTCGCGCTCGGATAACGTCGCTGCTACTGTTACTCAGCATCCTTATAAAAGGAACCTGGACAAGTTAGAGCACAAGAAACGTTCAAGAGCTGCTAGAGGAATTTCAGGACCTATGGCCCCATCACGAACGTTTTCTGCTTCAGCGGTTCAGCGAGACCTAGTACCCTACCACCAGTATCGGGCAAGACAGAGGAGAGACGCCAGCATGGAGGGAGAGTCCGTCTGGGATGAAGAGTTGGAGGAAGCCTTCATGGAAGGTTTGTTCAGCACCTTCCCTATTTCCTTCGTTCAAAAAGGATATGAGTTAGTCTGGTCTTGGGCATTCGACTAATACAATTTCCGGTGTTTAGCTATTCAAAAGATTCCCAAGATTGGTCGGCGAAAGTTGTCGATGGAGGGAAAGCCATGCGGAAGAAACGAATTGATTGCAGACTACATCTTCAAAGTCACTGGCAAACGGAGGACAAGGAAGCAAGTATCAAGTCATATCCAAGTCTTAAAGAACCTACTACGGCACAACCCAGATTGTAAGTCCAACCCTCGAGATGGGTATTCCGAAAGAGAACAGGGATTAACAATCATGGGATTATTGGATAGTTATGAAGCACGTTACAACAGAGAACCAATCTCCCGGATGGGATGCGGACTCCGGAGCTTGGGATTCGAACAGTCCACCAGATATGAGAGAACTAAGTCCTGGTGTCCACACCTTTTCCATCCCCCCTAGTCGCGCCCCGAGCTCCCACAGCAATGCCACAGACATAAGCCTGTTTGATAGTCCACCAGAATTCTTCACGCAATTTTCAGATGCGCCCAAGATCAGACCGACTAACTTTGCAATGTGGGTGGGATCACCATCCCGGGCTGGGGGAGTGGACGGATGTTTCCACTCATACACCCGACTCACCCAGGACGACGCAGTGCTGCCAGCAGCGCCTATTACGTCGATCCCCGAATGGAGGGCGCGCTTTCCGCACGTTGCGGATGTACTCAACTCCGAGTCATTCGAGACCTGCCCGGTGTTACACTTCCAGGCCAGCGTCTCAGTCATGTCTGAACTCCCCACGCAATCATCAATCCTCTGCACAGAGTTCGAGGTATTATCGTCCGATGGGAATATTGGCAGCAGCAGTAGCAACAGTAACATCAACAGCTCAGCCTGCGACACGCACCACCCCCCATATCACCATCACCACCGGCCATCCCAGGAATGGGAGTGCGTTACCCGCATATACGCACCTGGCAAGAAGGTATGGGAGTTGTCACATGCGGTGGATGCTACTGCCGAGATGGACGGTGGCAGAAAGCTTACCCTCCCATTCGCCTCGGATTTCTGGGCTGCATTCTACACCGGACTTTCGTCCCCCTCCTCCTCGTCCGCAGCTGCACCCCCCCACCACCACCAACACCAATTAGATCGAGCCGCCACCGTCGACCAAAATGAGAAGCTGCGCCGCAGACGGGCGAAAGAGTGCAGGGCCGCGATTAAAGGTATTACCGTCGTGCAGGAACTATTCCGTCCTACGCCCACCACTACCACTTCAGCCCTATCTATTGCAGGGCCCCGGGAACGAGCGGCCTTATTCCTCTGGGACTTCAGCAAAGCAGAGGCAGGCCAAGCGGGGAAGACCACTTGGCGGGAGCTTATTCCCCCAAGTCCGGTCGTGAGCGCGGGTGTATTGGCGGGTTCGCCAAACAGTATGAGGGGAGAGACAATACTTCCTAGCGATGTAAACGCAGACATGAAACCGAACGGGGGAAACGGGGGTGAAGGGGGAACATGGGGAGTGATACAGATACCCCTGTCACCGTTCGATCCGCTGTCACCAATATCCCTATCCTCATACTACACCCTGGCCTCCCAACCACCTTCTGCTACAATCGCGCGCACGACCACTTCCGCGAGCACATACTCTCCTATGGTTTCTACCGCCGCTACAACCCAAGGCCAATCCCAGGCCTTGTCTTTAGCTATGGGCGACCTCAATTTCGCTTTCGACATGCACGCTCACCATCACCAACCCTCCTCACTACCTCCTTTCCACACCGGCCTGCTCTCGTCCTCCGCTGCAACCGCCCTATCGGACCCTTCTGATTACTTCACTTCATGGCCACAAGGGTTTTCTCCTATATCGGATCATGGCCAACTCCACGTAGTATAGAATAAATTAGCATAATGTTTTTTTTCTTTCACCCTTTTTCCTCTCCCCATCGGGCGGTGGTTGGTGGAGACCGGAGGGGGAGCGGAAACGATCGGGATACGGTTAAACGGTGTTGTAGTAGATGGTTGTGCTTTTTTTTTTTTGTTTCCTTTCAGTTTCTTTTTCCCCTCGCTTTCCACTGCATGTTGTCTACAATGGTGTTTTATGCGTTATCTGTCTTTTTTTTTTTTTTTTTTTTTCTGGTTCTCACTTGTCGTTTTTCTCCCTTATTGTATCACTTATCCTTATTGAACTGTACATACCGGTAAGAACAGGGGATCTCTGGGGGGGGGGGGTATGTGCGCGCGGGCGGGTCGGGGATTCCGGGGTGTCTGTTTTTTTTTGGTTCCTTCATTCATTACTTGTACTGTAACCAATTTCTTCTGTCCTGGCTAGTAAGTTAGTTTGTCTAACTTTGGTTTCCTTATTTTCACACTACAAATAGTACCACTCGGGTTGGTTAGCCACTAAGTCGTTTACAAATAATGTACAAGTACAACATAACAGAACACCTCTCTACTCGAGTACCAGACTTTTCGCTTCGCTCCGAAGGGCCCAAAATTCACTAGACAGAAAAAAGAAAAACGGAAAGGAAAGATAATCTCTGCGGCCCACGGCTCGATACCCTCATCGATGATGGTCCGCCCCCACTCACGGTGAAGACTAAACAAGCAAAAGAGAGAATGGGAAGAAGAAAAGAAAAGAAAAAAAGAACAAGCGTCTATCGGAAAGCCATATCCAATAGCCTAACTCAACTCAACTTCCCCTCCCTGCTTGCGCTTCACACGAAGAAGAATTGACCGGCACTTGGACATCCCTCGATTCACACCACCAAGCACCTGTGCGACTGCCCTAAACAGCAAGTAAATTAAACAGAAGAAAAGAGGAGAGTCCGACATGAGCGCGCCAGTTTTTTTTTTTTTGCCCCTTAACTTCGCGTCCTTTATCGCCTTCCCGGAGTCTCCCAGGATGATGCAGGGCAGGGTAGGTGGTACACGGTCACTCGATCACTAGAGTAACTTGTGTGATAATTGGCGCGTTTGGTCTGTTCTAGCTGTCTGGCCTGCAGTTAGAGCGTTACATTTTGCTTGCTAGCTTGGCTGCTTGCCAAGGGAGGTAGCGAGAGTGTGTCAAGTAACGCATGGAGTACTTTGTACCATAGGGCTGTGTGGTATTGTGAGAAAACAAAAATAATAATTTCCCCCTCTTCCTCTCCCGACCCGCCTCTGGTGTTTCCATAGAGCATTGAATGTGACGGGAGGGGGTTTGTGGATTGAGAAGGGAGGAGAGAGAGGCATCAGCCGTACGATGCAGCAGTACAGCACGGCTCGAGTACAGTACCGGTACTGATAGGAGAAACTACCTCAAGCACCGTGAGCCAGACAGAGGTCGGCTTTGGTGCAAGTGCTATTACTTACGGTCTACGCGGGGGGGGGCGGACACGAGCTTGCACGGGTCGATACCAGGACTGCAGACTACCGCACAGGAACGTTCTTTAAGGGCCTGTTTGGCAACGACCGTTCCGTTCCGTTCGCCCATACAAATTGCCTTATGGTTCCGTTCGCGAACGGCCATTTTGTATGGACGAACGGAACGGAACGGTCGTTGCCAAACAGGCCCCAAGCGACAATCCCAGCGCGCCATGTCATAATATCGTGCTGTACTGTACTTGTAGGGCAAGGTAGGGCTGACCTGCTGTAATATGATGCGCTATTCACGGTGATATCACGCCAATTTGCCTATGATACTTGCTGTAGGGTAAGTCTGAAAGGGTCCTTTTTCTTTCTTCCAGTCACCATGAAAGTTAGTAAGTAAGCACTTACTGAGAAGGTTAGAAGGGATTACTTGACCGGGCCAGGAAGTTACAGATATTCTTCTGCACTTTATGTACACTACTTACAATACAGTGCGCTATCCGGGTAAGTACAAGTACTGTATGATAGGTAAGGATGAGTATGATACCGTAGGCGGGATAATCCGGAAAGGGCAAAATGTTCCCTCCCTCCCTTCCTTCCTTCTTTCCTTCCTTCCTTCCTTCCTTCCTTCCTTCCTTCCTTCCTTCCTTCCTTTCCGTTGAAGACAGGAGGCCGGGTTTGGAATCCTTTTGCTTCCCTTGGGGATTTCTTGGAACATGTCTTTTTCTCTTCTTCTCCCTTCTTTTTTTTCCTTCTTTTCTTTTTTCTCTTCCCCCACGGTATTGTAAACTCTTGGGGAACCCAAGTGCCGGAGGGGGAGGTTTGTTTGGGTGGCTTGTGTGTATCATACTGTATCACCGATGTGTAGGGCAATCAGTCAATCGAAACCCGCGATCTCCGGTTTGGTTACAGTAAATCTCGGAAAGAGGGGAAAGTTGAGTAAACTAAGAACTGACATGGGAATTTGTGATGATGAAAGCTCTAATAAGCCTGGGTATAGTCACTTACTTATCTTCCCACCTGCTTACTCACTTACTCGCTTCACCCATCCACTCATTGGCTGGCTCCGATGGAATACCGGTAGACTAGGGTAATACCTTGGCCTGCGTGCATGCGTCCCCCGCATGTATTTTCAACCGCAACGTTCCCTCATGTCTAATTACCCCAACCTTGCTCTTGCCTTGCGTTATTTTTCCAGTATTCTGATCGCCGCTGTCCACTACTTGCTACTTTCTCACTTGTACTCGTAGTTTCTTATTTTATTTTTTGTTTTTTTTCCCTCTGGTCAAACAGGGATTTAGCTCCACGATCGGCTGGCAGGGAGGAAGTGATTGAATGGCAACTGGGGGGGGGTTCGCGGTTCGTTACACTGCCCCGGTCAGCGCTTGGGGCTTCCTCTCAGTCGGGCTTCTGCTGTATGCTGTACCGGTGTGTCTGTATAGGCCGGTATTATCATGCTTATTTTTTTTTGTTTTTTTTGTCCTCCTTTCCTCCTCCTTGCCCCCCCCCCACACACACACTGCCTTTTCTTTTCTTCTCTTCTATCTTGATTCCTCGGAACGATAGTCAAGTACCACTAGTCTTCAAGACTGGTGTCCTGCGCTCGTGTGCAGTGATTGAGGGTGTGGTGTGTCAGGGTGCGTGCTGCGTCTGGTCGTGGGTGCGGTGCCGCCGGATCACTACCCACTTCCGCCACTTGACTTACATTTTTCGCAAAGAAAGGTTTACTCGAGCACTTGATGTTCTAGTATCATAGTCTCGATTTGCACTTTCTTCCGTGCACAGCATGTGTGGTCACTCACTCTTGTTTATCAGCCCTATGGACTAGAGCCGCTGGTTCCACTTTTGTCCGGGCACTGTAAGATCCTGGCCCATCGCGCCTCATACCCGAGAATCCAGAAGGCGATGCCTGTAACACCCAACCAATACGGTAAACGCCATGAGCGCGAAACCTGAACATCATTCAATCCCCGCACCATGGGTGAGAGTGTGGTACCTTGACCGACTACAAGTACCATGCCATACCGTACTTTTCCGCGCGACTAAAATAGATCCCCTCCCCCGCTCTCTTCCTCCTGCTCTTCAGGCGCCAGTTGGCTTTACCGCCACCCTTCTCCTTTCCTCTTTCTGCACAGTCCCCCTCACTCGAAAGCCTTTTTTTTGGGCTTTCAGCCTTATGTAATGCATGTCACAAAACCGGCCAATCCCAGTCACCTCTGCCAAGCCCGTGCAGTACTCGAGTACTCGAGTTACTGTACTGTGCCGGTACCCCATCATAATCACTTTTCCCAATATTGCTCTCGTCATTCTAGACGCAAGCGCAGTGCCAGACTGGGCGCAGAACTGCACACGGGGGATGAAGGAAAAGGGAGGAAAGAGAAAGACCCAGAAAGAAAGTATGTCCAGGTGATTCGCTTATGATCACACCCTCAATTTGATACCTTGTTGTAAATTGCTCCAGGGGCCATATAACTGATTGAATAGGTTATGATGATATTGCACTCATCCCTTGAGAAATTGTGCAGTGCACTGATTCGCCATAATAGATGCATACGGTGTCTGGTATACTTGTGCCATTGTCATTAGAAACTGCTTTTACCCTACTGCTATCTTTTGCTATGCAGCAGGCTTGAGCTTTCCACCATGTCATTCGTGGATGTAAGGCTGGTACTTGCATTGCATCAGACTTGTTAATCCCAACTATTAGGCGCGGTTATGGGCGTGCATGCGCAACATTGGCGCATGGGGTTGGGGGGGGGTTCATACAGATCTCTATTATGATCCTTGGATAGTACTTGTTGGACGAGCTCTAGAGTTCTACCGAACCCGTTGCCGTGGGTTATCAGGTAAGTTCGTTATGGGGCTTGTTTTTCTTTTTTGCTTAGAGCCGGTAACCCCGGGTATACCCGGCTGCCCCTAGTACCGGTATTGGGCTTGGGGGTCAGGCATCTGGGCGATGGTGGTTTATAATTCACACACACATCATGTTTGTTACTGTATGGCACGGTACCGTGTAGGACAACAAGAGGGTGACAGTGCCTATGGTCCGCGCCCAGGTAATTTTTTTCTGTACCTTGTGGTAACCGGCAGGAGGAGGCGAGCCGACCTCTGTCTATTGATCTATATCGTACTACTTGTAACAAGCATTGCGTTGGTATCACACCGCTGGATTGCTGTGCTGTACTGTGCTGTACATGTACAGTTGCTAAGTTTGGTGCCAACTATTCCGTGGCTGGCGAGCTAAATTAGGATTCTACAAGCAGCTATTTAGACGACCAAACAACGGCTCCCGGGTCTGGATTAAAGAGCTTGGAAAGCTATCATAGCTAGCTCGCCAGGCGGATTCAACCTTCTCCCGAGACTCCCGATCTATGTCTCCCGGTACGAACTCTACTCATACTGACTGCGCTTCCACCCATCCGCAAGCTCGGTATCGATAGGTCATCTTTCCCTGTCTGGCAAGAGCCGGAAGCTTCCTCACGACAGCCCCCCTCAACGAACGCGCACGATCTAAAAATAAAAACCTAGGCACGGCCAAACCATGAT